CTGAGCTGTCTATGTTCTTTTCAAGTTGAAATACTTTATCTTCATTGTCTGATGTTCTGTCTTCTAAGTGTTCTACTCTGCTGGTAGTATTCTCAATTGAGTTTTTAAGTTGGCTTATTGCTTCCTGCATTTCTAGGATTTCTGTTTGTTTGGTTTTTATAACCTCTATTTCCCTGTATAGTTGATCTTTTGCTTCTTGGATTTGTTTATGTAATTCATTGTTGAAGTGATCTTTCATTGTCTGATTTTGCTGTCTGATGTCTTCCTTGAGACTCCAGATCATCTGAAGCATGTATATCCTGAATTCTTTATCTGACATTCCATCTGCTGCAGCTATTACCTCTTCTAACGTTGAGTTGACCTGCAATGCTTGTGGTCCTTTCTTTCCTTGTCTCTTCATACTGTTCGCGTTCCTTTCTACTTGGCGAAACTGTTGTGCTATTGAATTTTCCCCCTATATATTTATATTGGTCTTGTATAGTTGCAAAGTCTCCCTCGCAGGCGCGGGCGGCGGCTCTGTCCCTCTGCGGGCCGCTAGGCTTGTTCTGTCAGTGGTCACAGTTCTGTCTACTTTGCAGGCGCAGGCAGCGGCACTGCCCCTCTGCAGGCCTCTGGGGCTGTACTGCCAGTGGGTCACAGGTCCGCCTACCTTGCAGGCGCGGGGGGGGGCGGCTCTACCCTTCCTCAGGCCACTGGGCCTGTTCTGTCTCTCGGTTGCAGGTCTGGCCTGTTCTGATGGTGGTCACAGTTCCGACCACCTTGCAGGCGCGGGGGGGAGGGGGCGGCTCTGCCTCTTAGCAGGTCGCTGCTCCTCTTCTGCCGGTGGGTCGCAGGCCCGCCTACCTTGCAGGAGTGATTGGAAGCTCTGTCCCGCCGCAGGCCACTGGGCCTTTTCTGTCCGTGGTCACAGTTCCCCTACCTGGCAGGCGCGGGGGGTGGGGGGCGGCTCTGCCCCTCAGCAGGCCGCTGGGCCTGCTCTGTGCGTGGTCACAGTTCCCTCTACCTTGCCGGCGCAGGGGGAGGGGCGGCTCTGCCTCTCAGCAGGCCGCTGCTCCTCTTCTGCCGGTGGGTCGCAGGCCCGCCTACCTTGCAGGAGTGATTGGAAGCTCTGTCCTGCCGCGGGTCACTGGGCCTTTTCTGTCCGTGGTCACAGTTCCACCTACCTGGCAGGCGCGGGGTTGGGGGGCGGCTCTGCCCCTCAGCAGGCCGCTGGGCCTGCTCTGTGCGTGGTCACAGTTCCCTCTACCTTGCCGGTGCAGGGGGAGGGGGCGGCTCTGCCTCTCAGCAGGCCGCTGCTCCTCTTCTGCCGGTGGGTCGCAGGCCCGCCTACCTTGCAGGAGTGATTGGAAGCTCTGTCCCGCCGCGGGCCACTGGGCCTTTTCTGTCCGTGGTCACCGTTCCACCTACCAGGCAGGCGCGGGGGGTGGGGGGGCCGCTCTGCCCCTCAGCAGGCCGCTGGGCCTGCTCTGTGCGTGGTCACAGTTCCCTCTACTTTGCCGGCGCAGGGGGAGGGGGCGGCTCAGCCTCTCAGCAGGCCGCTGCTCCTCTTCTGCCGGTGGGTCGCAGGCCCGCCTACCTTGCAGGAGTGATTGGAAGCTCTGTCCCGCTGCGGGCCACTGGGCCTTTTCTGTCGGTGGTCACCGTTCCACCTACCTGGCAGGCACGGGGGGTGGGGGGGGGGCGGCTCTGCCCCTCAGCAGGCCGCTGGGCCTGCTCTATGCGTGGTCACAGTTCCCCCTGATGTTTAGGTTTGCCCTGATGGCTTTTTCTGCTCTAAACTTTCTTCCCCTTTCTGACTATCTTGAGAGGCCTTCTCTTTTTCCTGATCTAATATGTCTTCTACCATAATCTGAACTGAAAGCTTTGGACTAGGCATACAAAATCGTATCACCACCCACAATGGCAATGTGCCAACTGGTAGAGTTCCTGGGTTTTTCTTTTCCCTGTCCCTTAAATCTTCACCATGATGGTCCCATTGTGATATATTCAACAACTCCTCCTTAAAAAGCCATGGGCTACATTTGTATTGTATCAACGTATGCCCTGACTGTTTTTGGTTTTACTGGGGTGCCTCCTTCCTCTAACAATTTACTTAACATTCTTTTGGTTTGTTTTTTGCTAATTTCTGACCCCATATTTCTGCTACAAGGATAACACAACTCAAACAGATAACTCAAAACAAAACCGAAGCAAGGGCTGGGGATGTGGCTCAAGCGGTAGCGCGCTCGTCTGGCATGCGTGCGACCCGGGTTCGATCCTCAGCACCACATACAAAACAAAGATGTTGTGTCCGCCAATAACTAAGAAAATAAATATTAAAAAAAAAAACCGAAGCAAAATGAAACAAAAACGGAACAAAAAAATCATATCAATTTTCCTATTTTTTTGAAATGTATATTCGTGGTCTATCTCTATCTCTTCCTCAGGGCGAACAACTTCAACCCTTGAGCCAACCATTTTTCCCAGTTTGCCTGAGAAAGTTCTAGGGATAGGCAGCTTGAAACAAAAACAAAACAAATCAAAACAAGAACACATTTTTTTTTGAAATGGTCACCCATTCTCTTGCCTTCCCTCAGGGGCGAGCAATTTCACTTACCTCTGAGCTTCAGGCGTTCCCCGCACGGGCTACCAAAAGCCGCAGTCTGGTTGGGCACAAATCATGAGCCACTCAAGCAGGAACAAACTTTATTTCCAATCTCCCGGGAATGCCATGCACGAGGCCTTCTCCCAGGACACACCACACACCAACCGGAAAATCCCTCCTCCGGCACTTCCCCAACCAACGCAAACTCCCCAGGAACCCCCACGAGAACTCCAAAGTAGAGTGAGAACTCCAAAGTAGCTGGCACTTGAGGTGGACAGCAGGGGTCTAATATATAATTGAATACACAGCTTAACATAACCATCATCATCTTAATGGCTTACTGGCGTCACCTCTCAACCACTCCATTCTGGCAAAAATGCCATGCTTCATTCCGACTAGGCTATGGCTCCCAGCACCTTATAAAAGGAAAAGCAGATAGAGGTGCTGCCCCCATATTAATGGCTTTCATAAGGGTCACAGATAAGCATATAAAAATACAAAAGTTAAAAGTACTGATAAGAGTTAACAGAGCAGGTACATTTGAGAAGAAAGGATTAGACTTAGGAGGAATCTTTACATTATAAAATTGTTTTGTGTAGGCTGTGGTGGGACATGGCTGTAATCCCAGTGACTCAGGAAGTTGAGAAAAGAAGATCCCAAGTTCAATACCAGCCTCAGCAATTTGGCAAGGCCTTAAATAACTTAATGAAACCCTGTCTCAAAATAAAAAATAAAAAGGCCAGGGATGTGGCTTGGTTCAATCCCTTGTACCAAAACCAAACAAACAAAAAGTTTTAAAATGATATAGACAAAATAATTTTAGGCATATCCAACAGTGAGTACAGTTTGCTGTGTAAAACAACACTGAATTTTCAAGAAATTGTAAGCCAACTGGCCTGGATAAAGGAACTCCATGAGAGTTATAGGAACTGTGAACTGAGAATCCTTTTATGCTGTGCTAAATGAATTTTTGGCTTTCGTTCTAAGGCAAAGGAAGACCACTGAAAGTATCTTAAAAGGGTAGTTATGTGACCAGAACAGAGTTGAAGACATCTGCAGCAACAGTCGGAATGAAGCTTAAGGGAGAAGAGGAAAGGCAGGTAGACCAAGGTGTAAAAGTCACTGGTGTAAAAGTCTCACAAGCAATTTGACTTGGTAGCTGATTAGAAGTGGTGGCAAGATGAAGAGAAAGATTAGTGATTTTCTATTTCTTTCTTTTTCACTAAGACAACTGGAAGCACATTTTATATCATGACCTAACACATACACACACGCGCGTGCGCGCTCGAGTCACACAACAACAATTTTACAAAAAAATAATTACTCTGTGTTTAATGCATTCTGGTATTTTCTATTTCCTTTCATTGAAAGGCTAATCACAATCAGATAAACTGATTTCATGATCACCAATCAATCCACAATGTGCTTCAATATTACTCTAAGATTTACTGCTATTTTTTTGGTACAACAGTTACAAACTGTTCTAACTGTCTATTAAGAGTATCATAGATATATTTTTATATCTGTTAGATTGGATTTTCTTAACTTTTATTTTACAACAGTATCATACGATTTTAATTATTCTAGAATCTAGTAGGTTAAGTTTCTTGCTTTATTTATAATATTTCTTTTACATTCTCTTCTCAGATTAAAAATTTTTATGTTCATATTTTTGAAGAATATTTTAAACTGCATGAAATATCCTATTGTATTTATAAGGAAAGAAAGAGAACTGTTATCACATCTAATGACTAGCAGCCTTTCCCTAAGTTTCCAGCATTTAACATATAAATATAAAGGGTATGGTTTGTTCCACTAGTATTCTTGACAAATACTTTCATTTTATAATGTAACTATCACTTTAAAATGATTCCTTATTTGTTTCTTGTTCTTTTGTGTTTTAAATCTTTCTTTTCTAAGTGTGTATTATAAACAACGTAGGATGAGATTTTTGTTTTAATTTAGAGTATCACTTCTTGATTTATGTTATATATATTCACAATCACATAAAATTTGGTTATTTCATTTTTTATGCTCTTTCTATTTCTTATTTTCTTTTCTACCATTATATCAGAAAAAGAAATTGCAGGTTTGGTGGGAAGACAAAACATACACAACTTTTTGGGGAGCAGAAGTCAACTTACCCACTTTCTTTATATTACTCTCAACCACTTGCAATTTTGAAAGTCTGGATGGACAAAAACCTCTTCCCAGTCACTTTCTCTTCCATAAACCCTTCCATAAAAGGTGCTGCCTAGACTACCCATACCCACCAAAAATCGCATGAGAGAATTTTCCAAGTTAGAGACAGCTTATTGGAGGAAGGCTTAGAAAGCAGCCACACTGGAGGGGGCTATCTGGTACAATCACACTTAACACCCTTCCCACCCAAAAGACAACTGGCTTAGACCCTCACCTTTTTGAAGGCTTCCTCCACTAGTATGGTAGACTTTGCCAGAAGCTGTCTCCATCAGTGCAGTGGCCTGCATCATTCAATGATGTATATTCTAGAAGAAGTATAAATATTAAATTATTATAATACTCATTATAATTTAAAAAACTATTAGATATACAGGAAAAATTTAACAAAGTAGCAGATATAATCAAAGATTCTAATTCAGAGGGTTAACAATGAAACAGATTGACTAACTTCTTTTAAATGTGAATTAATAGCCACATAAAAAATAGACAAGACAGTCTCATAAAATTTCCAAGAAACATAAAAAATAAAGTTATCCAAAAATCCTAATCAAAAAGTCTTAAAGACTATAATAACCATAATTTATGTTGAACCTAGATTAAAAATGCTTCCAAAATAAATTGTAAAAAGTTAATGACATGGTTTAGATATTAGGTAACCCCCCCCCCCCAAACTCACATGTACAATGCAAGAAAGCTTAGAGGTGAAATGATTGGGTTATTAGTTTTAACCTAATCAGTGTCATTAATCCCGGGACAGGGATAAACTGGGTGTTAACTACAGGCAGGTAGGGTGTGGCTAGAGGAACTGGGTTGATGGGAACATGCTTTGGGGGTTTATATTTTGTCCCTGGTAAGCGAGGTTCTCTCTGCTTCCTGGTCCCTTGTCCCCAGCTACTTTCTTCTGCCACATACTTCTGCTATGATGTTCTGCCTCACCTCAGGACCCAAGAAATGGAGTCGGACATACATGGACTGAGACATCTAAAACTGTGAGCTACCAGATAAACTTTCCTTCTCCAAAATTGTTCTTGTCAGGTCTTTTGGTCACAGCAGCAGAAAAGCTAACTAAAACAGTGGTACCTTCACACAACATAACATCTTCCGTCAATAAAAATGATCAAACTACCAATACACGCTACTTCATGTATTAATCTAAAAAATTAAGCTAAATGAGAGAAGCAGGGCACAAGAGACCACATATTATATGATTTCATTTAAATAAATGTCCAGAAAAAGCAAATTTAGAGAGACAAAGATTAGTGGCTTCCTTGAGTTGGAGGTGAGGTGGGGACTAACTATAAAAAGGCATAAATGATCTTACTGAAGCAATGAAAATATTCTAAAACTGATTTATGTTATGATTATACTACTCTGTTAAAGATACTAAAAATCACTGAAATGAGTGAGATATACCTCAATAAAGTTGTTTTTAAAAAAAGTTAATGACAATGACTCTATGAAGTCAGCTACAAATGAGGAAGCACAAACTGGTCTCTAGTAGAAAAACCAAGATACCCAAATGCACACAAATGATCCCCGAGGAGACCAGCAGAATAAATGGCTAGCCAAACCACAAAATCATTTTGAGCTCTGGCTCCCACTTACCTTCACTGTCCATACCCTGTGAAGTTTTTCAACAGAATCCAATAGATCTGGCAGGAAGAACTGATTTTGTTCTAATCAGGAACTATTTTTATGAACTATTTCAATCAATGATCCTGAAAAAAATCATCTAAGTTCACTCTCTGTGTTCTGCAATAAGAATATAAAGCAGAAGATCTCATTCCATAGACAGCTGTCTAACTATGAACCTGACTATGGCAGTTAATAAGCAGTATAGACTTTTATAGTTGAAGAAAACTGACAATAAGAGTATAGACACCAAAACCCAGAGGACATAATCAAGGTTATAAGCAAAAAAAGTCACAGCTTTAGATATTTATCATTAAATAAAACTGGAAATAAATGAATTAAGAAAAGAGGGGCTGGGGTTGTGGCTCAGTGGTAGGGTACAAACCTAGCACATGTGAGGCACTGGGTTTGATCTTCAGCACCACATTAAAATAAATAAATAAATAAATAAATAAGGTATTGTGTTCATCTACAACTAAAAAATGTATTTTAAAAAAGAATTCAGAAAAGAACTAAAGATAAACCAAAAAAGTTGATAATAAAATTATTTAGGAGAAAAACAGAAGCAATCAATTAAACAATAGTCAAAATAAATCAAGCCCTATTCTCTGAAAAGATGAACAAAAATAGATAAATATCAGAAATCTAAGAACTGAAACAAAAATTATCAACTAAAAAAGGAGCACCTTGCCAGGAATGGTGGCACACACCTGTACTCCCAGTAATTAGGGAATCTGAGGCAGGAGGATCACTTGAGCCCAGGAAGTTGGGTCCACCCTGGCAAACACAGTGACAATCCATTTATTTCTTTAAAAACAAAAAAAATTTAAACCAAGAAAATTTAAATTTTAAGAAAAGGAGTACCTTAACAAGAGATAAAGAGGTACTTTTTTAAAAAAATTGAGATTGCTGTATACACCTTTGATGGATCATTTTACAACAATAAAAACAGACACATTACTAAGAAAAGATTTTAAAAAGACTCATAGGTGAACAGAGACCCAACCACAGGAAAATTTTCAAAGGCTGAAGATATAGCCTGTATCAATTTTTTTCCAAACCATCTTGGACCACAGAGAAATGGTGACAGGCAAACTTCAAACCTAATAGAAGAAATAACAGCAGGGCATGGTGGTGCACACTGGTAATCCCAGAGGCCAGACAGGCTGAGACAGGAGGATTTTGAGTTGAAAGCCAGCCTCAGCAAGGGTGAGGTGCTAAGTAACTCAGTGAGACCCCATCTCTAAATAAAATACAAAATAGGGTTGGGGATGTGGCTCAGTGGTTGAGAGCCCCTGAGTTCAATCCCCAGTACCCACCCCCACCCCCACTCCCAAGAAGAAAAAAAAGGAAAGAACATCATCACAGCAGGAACAACAATTTCTCTCAGCATCTCTGAATGCCTACCATGTACCAGGCTGAACTAGTAAATAGTGAAATAAAGGCTGCCCTATGGCACTCATTCTTCAGGCAGGACACAAGAAATAAAGTAGTAAGTAAAACACACAGTAGGTTAGATGATGAAAATGCAAGGAATGAGGGAATACTGATTTACCTGGGTATACATTTCAAGTGAATGGGGGAGGGGTATGACTTGAAGTACGGTAGCCAAGGAACATTTTTCTGATAAGGTGAGACTTGCAAAAAAAAAACAACTAAAGAAACAGAAGGAAGGAGCCATGCAGACACCTAGCAAGTCAGGAGGCTTTTCTAATAATCTAGGCAAGAGATGATGATGTCTGGGAGCACACTGACTGCAGCAGAGAAGGTTGATTAGATCCTGGATCTATTAGTTAAGACTGAGAAGATTTGTCTTACTGGAATGGATAGGAATGTGAGAAAACAGAATCAAGAATACCTCCCAAGAGTTTTACACATGCTAATTCTGAGATATTTATTAGACATTCAAATAGAGATAGAGGTCTGGAGATCAGTGAGATCATCTAGAGCTGTACTGACCAGTAGCCTTATATGGTTAATGAGTACTTGAAATGGGCAAATCTAAATTGAAATGTGCTATAAGTATAAAACATATACTAGATTTTGAAGACTTAATATGAAAAGAACAAAATCTCATTAACATATTTTACCTAAATACACGTTAAAACAATAATAATTTCATATACTTGGTTAAATGAAACACTAAAACTAATTCTACCTATATATTTTTCGTTTGTTAATGTGTACTAAAAAATTAAAAATCACACACATTGTTTGCATTATGTTTCTTCTGGATTAACACTGATTTAGTGATCAAAATAAATCTATGAGCCTGAATGTAATCATTATCTAATTGAAAAAGAAACAAAGAAGAGACCCAAGAATTAGGTGCTAAGGCATTCCAAAGTTAAAAAACGCTGAAAAGAAGAACAAAGGACACTGAGAAAGACCAGTAAGTATAGTTATGGTATACTGGAAGACAAGTGAAAAGGCTATTTGAAGAAGGTGGAGATAATTAAAACAATGAGTTGAGGGCTCACTCTGAACTGAACCTGGCAACCTAGAAGTCATTTACAACCTACAAAACTGATTCGGTTAAATGATGGTGATGAATGCCTGTTTGGAGTAAGTAGATTCACAAGAAAAGAACTGGAGAAAATGATTATACATAATTGATCCAATTTTTTTTTTCTGTGAAGGAAAAGAAATAATTAAGAAGATGGGGGAGATAAGTAAAGAATTTAAAAATAATTAAAACCATGAACAAAATGAACTGATAAACCAAGGAAAGATAATTTTAAATATACTGCATAAAGTACTCATGCAAATTAAAATATATCCAGAGAAAAACATTCACAAACGGGGACTGAGCAATTATATGACTGTAAGAATCATAGTCATGTGCTGTAAAACAATATCTTGGTCAACAACAGACAACATAACATCATGGTAATTCCATAAGATATCACCTACTTATGTGCAGATAGTACATACACACACATACACACTCAATGATGTTCGAATGATGAAGTTGCCTAATGACACATTTCTTAGGACATAGTCCTGTCACCAAGAAATGCCTGATGCAGTGGCACAGGCCTGTAATCTGAGATGCTCTAGAAACTGAGGCAGGAGGATTACAAGTCTGAGGTCACCCCAAGGAATTCAGTGAAATGTTGTCTCAAAAAATGTAAAGGGCTGGGGATGTAACTTGGTAGAATAGCGCTTATCTAGCATGTGCATGGGCCTGAGTTCAATCTCCAGTATAAAAATAAACTGAGGGGCTGGGGTTGTGGCTCAGCAGTAGAGTGCTCATCTAGCATGTGTGAGGGGCTGGGTGCAATCCTCAGCACCACATAAGAATTAATTAATTAATGGCATTGTGTCCAACTACAATTTAAAAAATATTTTAAAAAAACTGAAATGAATTTTAAAAAAATGGCTGGGGATGATGCTTAGCCATAGAGTACTTGTCCAGCATGCTCCTGGTCTTGGCTTGATCCCCATTACAGCACAAAACAAAAACAAAAAATGCACAACTACATATTAAAAGATGGATAAGCCGGGCGTGCCAGTGCACGCCTGTAATCCCAGCAGCTCAGGAGGCTTAGGCAAGAGGACTGCAAGTTCAAAGCCAGCCTCAGCAACTCTGCAAGACCCTATGTCTAAAAGGCTGGGGAGGTGGCTCAATGGTCCCGAGTTCAGTCTGGGGTACCAAGAAACAAACAAACAAAAACAACCACCTTAGCATTAACAGAATGCAAATTGGAATGGGTGCATTTTTGTCTATCAGACTTGCAAAGGCTGATCAAGACCATTGAAATGGGCATTCTCACGCCGGGAGAATTCAGACTGCCCTGCCCTTCGGAAGGGTGCCTTTGCAGTGTCAAGATTTAAGCGCGCGTGTCCTCTGGCCTGGACGAAGCACATTCTAGCCATGTTCTGATGGGAGAAGAGCGGGGCAGCCCAGCCAGAAATTCCGCTCCCGGGCGCGCCCACCTCCGCGCCCCTGGGCCAACTCGCCCGGGAACCCCTGTGGCACCACCGGCCCGGGCTCCTCCGGTTCTGCCCGCGGGCGCCCAAGTCCTCCCACCCGGCGCCCTTTCCACCTGGCGGTTTCCCCCCCCCGGGCGGGCCGGCGTCCGCCTCTATCCTCTAAGGCGCCACCGGCTGAGCCCGGCCCGCCGCCCCGCACGGCGTGCACTCCCGAGGTTCCCCGGCTCGTCCCGCGCCCAGGCCTGTCGCACCTCCGGCGCGGCCGTCGCCGCCACCACGCGTGCGGACCCAGCTCTCGGCTGCTGCCTCAAAGCGATTGACTTCTGGGCGCCGCGGTGCCTGTTGGGTAACGGCCGCCGGCGGCCCGCCCACCGCTTGGCAAAGCGCCCTGCTATTGGTCGGCGCGAACAGGGCAGCGCCGTGATTGGCCCGGCATGCGGGCGCGAAAGAGCGGGAAGGAAACTGCCGACTTGGCTTCCAGCCTCGTGGGGGTTCAGGAAGGTCTGGGCCTCTAGCTTTCCTGCCTCCCCGCTCAACACCCTCGTGGGACTGCACGCTCTGTGGGCAGAAGTCAAACTGCCCGGCGACCTCTCTCGCGGTGGCTACACGGCCACGCCTCCCGACCTGGGAGTCCCAGAGCTGGCTTCTAGAAGCCCCATGGGCAGGGTGCAGTCGAGGGCCAGGTGCGGGCCCTTGCCCTGGGTGCATAATTGAAGGGGGACACCCCAAACTCAGCCGTCAAAACAGATGACACTTCCCTGCAATCGTTTTAAAAAGTCAGAGGCAACGAAACTAAATCCGAGATGAGTAAAACCTCCAAATTGGTGATCACAATTCTTTCCTGGTCTCTACAATAGCTCCACAGAGCAGTTGCTGATGTTGTCTCTAAACTGGGGTGTTTTGTTCATTGTGGGGGAATATATTTTATTTTTTTGGTACAGGGTATTAAACCCAAGGGCACCCAACCACTGAATCACATCCCCAGCCCTATTTTGCATTTTATTTAGAGACAGGGTCTCACTGAGTTGCTTAGCACCTCCTGGTTGCTGAGGCTGGCTTTGAACTCACAACCTCCTGCCTCAGCCTCCCAGGCCGCTGGGGTTAGAGGCGGGCACCACTGTGCTTTGGCCCGTGGGTGGATTTCTTTGTGCATTACTTTGTTCATTGTGGATTCTCTTTTGCATCCCCGTATGCCTGATTTGGCTTTAGCATTTTTAATTTTTTAAAAATAAACAGTTGTATTAAACTATTCTTTGATAGTGAGTTAGAATTTTTAGAAATTTCTTTCCTGTGCTGGCAGAAATATGTCACATGCTCATTCCATTGTTGGTCTACCCTAAGAATATAGGGGAAAGAGGCATGTCCTCCTTTCATAGGCCAACGTTTCAGACTACCGGAGGACGACTAGAATTGGTGGTGTGCGGGGACAGGATGTCCTGGTCACCTGGGACAGGACCCTGGACAGCTGGGCACAGCCCTCATGTTGTATCCTGGGCTGTGGGCAGGCGAGCTGAACTGGGGCAGGCGAGCTGAACTGGCGCAGGCGGGAGAGGGGCTGCGGGATCACAGGCAGGAAGACTGAGGCAGGTGGGTGCATGTGAGGTTCCCTGTTGCTGCAGGCAGAAGAAACATTCGTACCAGCGACTTCAGCAGCCTTTGTGCAGCCCTGGGTTCCAGCACCTTCCTCACCCGTAGAGCTGTTCCTTGGTCTCCTCCCACCCAGGGCTCACTTAAGTCGGGCTGAGTCCTGGTGTCTGCGTGTGCCGCCTGCCATCCACCTTTCCTGCTGGGCTGCTCTGCCCTATTGGACTTTTCTCATTGATATGGGGGTTTGTGTTTTTTGTTTTGTTTTGTTTTTTTCAGTCCTGGGGATTGAACCCAAGGGTGCTCTACCATTTAGCTAAATCCCCAGCCCTTTTAATTAATTAGTTAATTTTGGTTTTGAGGAGAGTCTAGCTAAATTGTCCAGGCTGGCCCTGAATTTTCGATCCTCCTGCCCCAGCCTATTGAGTTGCTGAGATTACAGGTGTGTGCCACCTTACCCAGCAGAGTTCATTTTATCTTGATGTGAAGCTTTACACTTTGATGAAGTGTATTTATCTGTGGCCTTTTTTTCCAATGACTTTACTCCATCCTGAGTTCAGAATAATTATTAGCAGTCATTTTAACTTGCCTTTGCAATTTGATTTTTTACACATTTATTTATTTGGGGGGTGCAGCTTGGTGATAGGGTGCATGCTTTACACACACATTCTGGTTCAATCCCTAGCATTTCCTCACAATTTTTCTTTTTTTCTTATAACTTTTCAACATTTTAACATTATTGTTTCATGTAGAAATGCAGAAAAATTCGGAAGCCACATCCTGGGAGTCCTCAGGGAACGCAGCAGGAAAATATGGTGAAGCAATACCTCTCAGTGAGTAAGGATGGGCATCCCATTGTCTGTCACTTTGCACCTTTGTAACATGCAGAATAGATGGCGAAGGCTGCTCACTGCCACCACACCAACTTTAATCAGAATTATCTAAGTTAGTTACCATGTTAACTTCCAGATGACAATTAGAATAATTTTGTGTGATTACTCCCAACAATATCTCAAAGTTATTTTCATAAGTGCATTAAATCTATAAACTTGGGAGAAAGCTACATCTTCATAGTACTTATTTTTTTAAAACATCAAATTGTATACTGCTGTGCCCCTCCCCTGACTCAGGCAATGGCAAGGCCCTACTGAGGTGGATGGCGCAAGGCGTCCATCCTCTGGAGGAGCGCAGTATGTTTCTGGGAATGGGCTGGTTTGTTTCTAGAATTGGTGGTGTGCGTGGACAGGATGTCCTGGTCACCTGGGACATCCTGTATAGTTGTAGTTGTGACTTCTCATATGACCATTAAGTTTGAAGGAAAAAACATGACTTTCCCAATTAATGCAACTACTTCTAAAGAATGGATCTGTTTGCTTTAAATGCAATGATTCAGCTGTGGAACGTAAATTGTTAATGTTTAATGAAAAACCCCCTGTAGGAAAAACAGTCAAGGAAGTTTTTGAGAAATTAAATTAAAATCTAGAGAAGAAGAATTCATGTTAAGAAGACAGATTGGTGCTTGGTACTGGCAACTTGTTCTTGTTCCTGTGCACAATGGTTTGTGCTCTTACTCTTGTTTGATTAAAATTAATAGCCTCTCTTTTCAAGTTAACCTCTTGCCATAAGCGTGGCGCCAGTTCTAGTCAGTAAGTCAAGAAAGAATAGTCAAGGTGTAGGCCAATAGTCTGGGACATTTCTAACTATTTTTAAAAGTTAACTAAGCAGAAACAGCTCAAAGCAAAACGTGAACTAAAAGTAAAAATGCTTGCTTATGCATAAGCCAAGATACATTCTTCTATTCTAATTGTAGCTATGTAATATTTTGTTTCTTTGAATAATGATTCCTGTTTTGTAACCACAAAGTACTGTGAGCCTGCCAAAATGAAAAGTATATATGATTAACTTCACAAGTAAAGATTGGGATTCAGCACCTTCACTTTGGTGTCTGTGTTGTTTCTCCACCCCCTTTCAGCGACTCCTCACCATCCGTTTGTCTCCTGAGACCCCCTGTTGGAGCTGGTCTCCAACAGTATACTTTATTTGTTGATTTTTAGGTGGTGCAGAAAATTGAATCCAGTGCCTCACATGTGCCAGGCAAGCGCTCTGCCACTGAGCCCCAGCCCCAACCCATTGTACTCATTTTTACCATATACATTTCAGTAGTCTTTCATGTAATCTCTCTCAGCCAAACGAAAAATTCTGAAGACTGAAGTCAGTAACTTGCCAAGTATAATCTTCTCATTTTATGAATGACTGAGGATTAGTCTTTCTGCTACTGTCTTCATTTACCTGGATAATTGGCTCCTGAAAGAGGAGCATGTCCGGCTCTGAAGGAGAGGACGATGGTGGAACATGGAAATCTTGGTGAAGAAGAGGGTGAGGCATTTGTGGTTTAGTGAATTAAGCCAAGGTGGCCACACTTGAAGACCCTCCTGGGCCAGTCCCTCTTAAGCAGAGATGAATCTCATAGTCCAAATCTGCCACCCCAGGCCCTCTGCAGTGGGATAAGCATGGAATCTTACTCTCTGGACTGTGAGGGGTGGTGATATAGAGGGGCTGGGTGCACTTGGAGGCTGTTTGGGAAGCTCTTACCTCCTGAGTGCCATGTACCAGTACCGCCATCTATCCTCGCTGGTGACCCAATGCTGGGCTCATAAAATCTGACTTTTCCTATAACTCAAAGCATGTACCCACATAGAAGTAGCTTTTCAGTGATCCAGGGATGGCTCTTCGACCTTAAGGATCTGTAGAAACAGAGTGAGCCACTGGAATTCTTTATTCTTAAATAGGGGACACAAAGGGGAGGTTCCATGGAACATTCCACCCCCAAAAGGGCAAAGGGGTAGGATTACAAAGGAAGAGGTGAGTGTAACTCGTCCCCTGTGGGTAACACCTGCACCTGGAGCCACCCCTTGCTATCTGAGCTGGGCCAATGCCCAAGTCACTACAAAAAGTAGTAATTGGCCAGAGCCTCCTGCGTCAGGACTTAAAGGTGTGTTCATGCAGGGCAGCTCCTGCCATGCCAGAACTCTTCTAAGTGCTGGGCCCCTGGTGGCCTCTCAGTGGAGTGGAATGGTTACCAGCAGTAGCCAGAATTGTAATACTCTAGGACCCTCCATTTAGCAGTATGTTTTCTGTTCTTCTGGGTTTTGTTTTTTTTATTTGTTTGTTTATTTTTTTGAGACAGTGTCCCACAGTGTTTCCAGGCTGGCCTTGAACTCTTGTCCTCAAGCATTCTTCACCTCAGTCACAAGTGGTGTACACCTCAGTTTCCTTTTTCAATGGAGGCAGTAAGAGGACCCACAATGTAGAGGAGGCAGTGACATAATCAGACTTGTAGAGAGGTTCAGTAAAGTGGGTTGGGAGTGGGAAGAAGATGCGAGGCCTGGTCCAGAGGAGGGGGTGGTATGGAAGGAGAAACGGTTGGCTTGCGAGGTCTGTCCAAAATGGAACTGGTAGTGCTAAGGGGCAGGAAGGGCAGGAAAGGGTCCAAGTAACACCAAGGCTCCGATGAGGGGGTGGCGTGGCTGATGGTGTTTGTATTAAGGGGGGTTTGGGAAGAAGGAGTTGGTGGGGGCCCTGGTGGGAGGGAAGCAAGGAGTTCTTGGCTTTGTAAGTTGATGGGTTTCCTATGCTTATATTCTGTTGCCTTTTTCTTAGTGAGAAATTTTGCTGATCCTCCTTGACACCCTTTGCTGGCCCCTTGTCCTCTCCATAACCCTGCTGAAATATT